GATCATTTCTGATTAGCAATGCCCAAGCAAACACTAACATGCTATACAATGCAACAAAATAACAAGAGCATGGGTTGGACCTATCAGGTTTTATATCACCAAACAGTTGAGAAATAAAGATATTTTAATAACTTATACTTATCTCATGCTCACCAAATAGTGGGGAAGACCATAAATATTATCCTAGCATCAGTTTATCAAGTTCTATCTTTCAGGCATCATCTGTCATGTGCACGATCTCATTTAATGCCCACAACCATTTTAAAGGGTCATTAGCCCATTTTACAGATGAGAAGACTGAGGTTCCGTAATTTGTCCATCATGGCGCGGCCAACCCTGTAACTGCTGGGATCAGCATTTGTACAGATCTCTGATTTCAGACCGCATTCTCAGCTACCATTCCTTATTCCTTAGCCCAAACTCTGTCCTTTGCATTCAACTCTGGTTAATTATGCTTAACTCTTGACGTCTCTGTTTTAACCAGTCAGGTGGAGAGCCTAAGACATTGATGGGGGTACTAGGATCTGAGACCAGCCCAAGCAGAGGAAGGCCACTGTGATTCCCCTGAGAACAGCCAGGCAACATTCAGCTCACCGGATTCCTTCTCCCCTGGGACAGTCACCCCCACGCAGTAACTAGAGGTAGGTGAGACACTACTAAGCTGTGATCTCAAAAGACACTTAAGTCAGGACACCTGTCAACCATTACAACCAAAAATCCCTCCCAGGAAAGTTTGCTGGCCAAAATGTACCAGTGAGTTATTTTCTTATTTATTCGATTATTTATACTCTAATGATTTTCAAAATGAACAGAGAAAGCTTAGAATAAAAACCACAGAATCAATAGAATAATCATTAATGTTAATATCTAATATTTATTAAGTATAGACCACATACTAACACTCCTCTAACAAATTTACAATACTGGTTTTAACGTTCAAAGCAACCTTTTAAGATAAGCATTACTTTTACTGTCCGCATTTTACAAATAGAAAAAAAAAAACACACAGAAAAGTGAACACATTTCTCCATGTTTGGTTCCAAAGCTAGTAAGTGGTGCAACCAGGTTTTAAATCCAACCATCTGATTCCCCTAGAGACGTTCACCACCCCTGCTACAGTGTCTCCCCAGAACAAGGGTCAAAGACCCAGAGCTAAGTAAGATCCCAGGATCACTTGTAAGTAGTATATAATTGTCTAACCACTATGTTATACATGCGAAACCAATATAAAATAATAGTGGATGTAAGCCTTAATTGAAAAATAAATATTTTTTTAGAAAAGAAGACCCCAAGAGTGTTGACAAACAAAGACATAGGCAAACAAAATAACTAAAACTGAAAATAAAATTTGACTTGAGCTTCTTAACAAGCAATCCTTAAAGAAAAGGGTGAAGAATTAACCTCAGTAGAATGACCAACCGTCCTGCTGAGCATGGGGGCACGGGAGTTTTTCAGTGCAAAAACTGAGATGGCTGCATACTCTACTGAAAAGGTCTTATAATATTTTATTAGGCCTCAGATAATTGAAAACATACGAAATCATTATGGGTGTTTTCAAACCTACATTGGGTCCTTTAGCACCTCCTCCCACCATCATTAAGTACTAAATAATTTTCTCAACAGTCTTCTTGGGAAAGATGAAAGGGTTGAAGAAAAATGAAGTCCTGTTAGTTGTTGGTTTTCAATCATCACATCTATTAGTGTGCTCAAGAGTCTGGGTAAGAGAGGCACACAAATTCTAGGTTAAATTCTGCCCTGCCAACTCCAGCTCTGTTTTAATTTTCCTTCCCAAGGTCATTTAGAATTGCTTTCTCTAAAAAAAAAAAAATCTTCCCTATGTCACAGGCAGAGATGCAGGCCAGTGGTTTTCAGACCACTTGGAGGCAGCCTCATCGGAGCTCACAAGTAACAGCAAACCAAGACCAAGCAGTAAACTTCTTAAAGCCAGGTGAACAACAGCTCTGAAACCAGTGATGAGCTTCAGGAAGATGGAGACCGTGTCTTATGTACCTGTGTTCCCCCCACAGCAACACCCTGCAAATAAATATTGTCTTAGTTGCAATCTTCATCTTAGTGTGTGAGAGCCATAAGATCCGTAACTATCATTTGGTGTAAATGTTTACAGGTGAGTAGACTGAGGCCTCAATGAGGAAAGTAAATTGCCCAAGGTAGGTCACGAAGCTAAAGTGAGACTAAATGAATTAAAGAGGAAGTGAGCTATTCCTTGACTAGGGTGAGAAAACCCCAACGAGGTTGTATGAAAGAAAACAAAGGATCATTTAAGGGAGCAAGGTTATAACTCCAATCCAGGTGATCTGTCACAGGTCTTCACAGCCCTCAGTTGTTAAGTGAAAATGATAAACAAATGACTGAAGAATCCCATGCAAATTATAGGAGCAACTATTTTAAGTGGAAAAGACAAAATATCTTCAGGGACAGAAGCAAGCTCTGCATGATATGTTGAAAATTTCACAAAAACTATAGAAATTTTAGACTAAATGTTTTATGGATATTTTCCAGCCAATTTTAGTTTCTATTTAGACTAAAGGCAATCTCTTTAAAATATATATATAACACTCTCGCATTTCACCAAGATATTCAGATGCCTCATATGGCCCAGCCACGGTGACAGGGCATCAAGCACGAAACAGCAAAGGCAAGGAAAAGGTGAGCCAAGATCTTGGCGGTAATGCATACATCTTCAATCAAACACTCATAATGTTAAAATGGCTCAGAAAAATTCCAATGAAAACCTCCGAATCTCAAACATAATTTCTCATCTCAATGCCCAATCAAATCAATGGATGGATCAATCAATCAATCAGTACTTCTGAACACCCTGTTACCTACTCAATCCCTGGAGACAGAGAACAGTAATAATGGAGATGGTAGGGTTTGAAATAAATGCCATGTGACTAGGGGCATTGTGTGTGGGGTTGGAGTGCACAGTCAATTTGGACTGGGAGAGAGAGAAGAGGTTTCATAGGCAGAGAGAAGCCTGAACTGGCTCGGCGGCATCTGATGAGCAGAGCAGAAATGGAAGTCGTTCTGCCGTGAGAAACAGCGAAAAGGGTGTCACCAAGATGGGAAGGCTCAAGGTGTGCTCAGGTGACAGTGAACCAAGTTGTGTGGCTAAAGCAAAGGGTTCAGGGAGCATGCCTTCAATGGATGAGGAAGGTGAAAAGGCAAGCTGGACCCAGCTCATGAAGAATCTTCTACTCCAAGGTAGGAAGGCAGGCTGGTGAAAGGGCGACGCAGCTCTCCAGGCTGCCTCGGCAAACCCCATTTTTCAAGACTTCGAATATGTCACGGCCAGATCTAAGCAGGTTAGTTCTAAGGTTACATGATTTTTTTAAATATCTCTGTGCATTCACAGTTCAGGAGTGGAATCTTATGGCTACCAACAAGTGAAGACTAAAGTGAGAGTCATTTTCCAAGAAATCTGGGGCAAAACATACTTTCTTTTGCCTGAAAGACAACAGAATCTACAAAGTTCTTTGCAACTCATTAAACCAAAACGTCACCCCACCGAAATAGAGCTAAAAGAATCCTAAGTTCAGTTGCACAGATTCTATCACATATTTGAAGAAAAGTACATTATTAGAAGAATAAAAGAAGTATTTGAAATGAATACATAGTTATTGTTCAGAAAAACCATTTTAAAAGAGAAAAATTGTATTCACCTGAAAACTTTTCCTTAAAACCATATTAGTAATCCTTCATAATCATGAATATAATCTGATTTAAAGCAAGTATAAAATTCTTAGAAATAGTTTAGCATGAACCATTTGAAGGATTTCTTTCTCTTTCTGTTTTTCTTTTAAAGAAATCCCCCATCACAGCTAATTGAGTGGCTCTACTGGATATACTCGCAAAGTAACATCCTACTTTTACACTTATACCCAGGCAGTCAAGAGAAAGATCTTTTTGTTTGGTTAGTGTTTCTAAATTTGAGGGGGGATGTGTGTGTGTGTTGGGGGAGGGCGGTCCTACTATTTTTTAAATGCTCAAATAAAACAATTACTAAAAAAAGAAAAAGAGCTTGTGACTTAGACATGCCCTGAGTTCAGTTTTCCCAGAATGGCAAAAACAGTCAACAGAGTCCTAACCTCCTTTCTCTCTCGACTATACAATAGTTTTCAAAGAGGTTTAGTCCTACTACGAAAGACTCATGTTAGACATTGGAAGGGTCTCATAGATAATTAGCGCCAGGCCTTGAGTAACAAGGGAGATGGTGACCTTTTGCCCCATCTGCTGAAAGCCCAGCACATCCTATGGCAGAGGAACAGAAAAAGCTGGTGTGAGCCCAGGTGCCGCAAACCCCTTGCCTCTTGATTTCTCCCACACTTTGTTCCTGAAACAGTCTAAACCATATATGATTTAAATAGTATTAGGGAGCGAGAGAAAAGTACAATTCTGGAAGCAAGAGCTCCACTGCTGCTTAGTCCTTTGTTCCCCACATTGTTTGAGTCGTGCACAGGCAGCACACGTCCCATTAGCAACAGGCAAGACAACGGATTTAGCAGTGGCTCCACAATTAGTCCCGATTTAGGGCTATTTTCCAGCTAAATATAAAAGAGTAGTAAGGTGAGGGGAGCGGGGAAAAAAGGGAGAAATTTTCAAGAACTATCTCCGCATGGAGCCAGCAATACAATGTAAAGCAAACTGAGCTAGGGATGAGGAGAGACTGCCCAAATTCACTGTGTGACGTGAGGCAAATACCTTCACCTCTCTGTTGTTTTCCATAAAACATGGGCAACCTATCATTACCCAGTACAGGCTCTGAAAATCTAATGTCAAAGTGTGATTGAAAGTATTCTGAAAATCTGAAGTGCTACACAGATGTAGGGTATTGCTCCAAGCTGTATTTGGAAACAGATACGCATCTGTTTTGCAAATCATGTACCTTTTATTCTTTCTGACAGAAGTCATTAGTGACTTTCTTATTTTATGTCTATTTTCTTGACGGCTAGTTTTTAGAGTTCATGAGCAATACTTACATATGTACATGTGGCGGCTGGAATCTGCTCTGGTTGATGTTGTAATGCGTGAATGCCTGGGTGGGGTTAGAGCTGTATTCATCCACCGTTATGGTAACTTTGCCTTGAGAAGGAATCCCATGTGCCATCCTTCCTCCCTATAGGCATGAGCAATTCACAACTTTCCGGAGCAAAGGATGGAAGCAGGCATGGTGCGTTTCAGCCAATCTCTGAACCCAAGGATCTACTCATCAATACTGCTGTGCGTTTCTGGAAAAAAAAAATTATAAAATGAGAACAAAGGAAAAGAGGGTGTTCTAAGAGAGACGTCAAATGTGACACATGGACATGAAATTGGTTCAGGAAAAAAAAATCTCAATATGTGTGGCTGCCTCGTGGATACAACCTTTCCCAACTCACTACCCTGCAAGCACTTCAGAGTGGACAGTATACTCCATATGACACCACTGGCTGCTAGCAAATCATTTCAATGGCATTCAAACTAAGATTTCCTCTTTAATTATAATTATGGCACTTAACATGAATTACAGAAGGGCCATATCCACAGTTGCCATGGTGTCTAACTATAAATGGTTTGTACTCAAAGTGGGAGACTCTTCCAAACCATCTCTGCTAATTGGAATATTTGGTCTGAACAAAGTTGGTGTCATATATTAATTTGAAATCTCAATGTTTAACACAGCCATAAAACGCAATGACAAATGTAAGTTTAAAATGCTGTGCTCCTAACAATATCTGTGTGTACCTGTAGTACACCTCTCATATATGCACACATTACACATAATTTTTTCTTTCACAAGCAGCTTCCAAAATACATAGGTATCAATGCCTGGTACACATATGCATTCCGCTTGGGCAAAGAACTTTAGGTTAAGGCAAATCCTTTGTGCTAAATGTAATGTAATTTCTCAAAACACTGCAGTCACTTGGGGGAAAAGCAAATAAACACACCCAGGCTTGGACCACCACTTTGGATGCATTCATTACCGCCCCTCTACCAGCTGGGAGGGAGCAGCAAAGGAGGGCAGCCATTACGTCTACCGCCTGCCTCATTCTTGCTTGCTGATGCATAATTCTCAATTGCTGGTTTCATACTTTTTTTTTCAAGTTTCCACTAGTTGAGAATCTTCTTTTAAATGTCGATCTGTGATTTGCTGCACTGGGTTCAGAAATAAGGATGTTCACTTTTATGGCAGGTGCGCAAAGACTGAGGAAAGCCCCTCCCAGCGTGCAGGCCGCCGCAACTGACCGGTGCAGTCAAGAAGCAGCAGAGGACAGCATCGTGCTCGTGTAACCCTTGGGTAACCCACGCTCTTACGGTAAGTGCTCCCCATCAAAATACGATTGCCATGTGCACCATTAAGCTCCAGAGTCTTAGCAGCTATTGCAAATAAAAATATTTAGAATAATAAGATTAGATTTGAATTTGGCATGAAACACCTTCAATATCAAGCAAAAGGCAGATGGCCTGCTATAGGCCATTTATTTTATTATTTTACAACCCGGGGCTTGTGTAGTCCTCCATATGCTAACTGGGCTAAGAAATTCCACAGTGTTCTATTCAAATCATGGCCTTGTTCATCTTAGCAAAGCGAGCGAAACAACACCCACCTTGCCTGCGTTCCTAATGTACAAAGGCACTGCCAAGAGATAAATCCCTGGTGCGCTGGCATTTTAAACAGTGTCACTTTGGGTTCCCTTTCTTCTTCCTGGCTTCATGGGAGGTATGAGTCCTTTAAGCACCAGTTGATAGACAACCAGGCCAGTAGGATTAACGAAATTAAAATCTTTCCCTGTTCCTCTGATGTAAGATATCTGTAAGAACTGCTTACAAATCATAATGTAGCAGTTTTCATACCAAGTTTGCAGCTGTTTCCTTAATTTCCCCCACAATTATATTTTACTGTTATTTTGCATAACAGTAAAACACAACACCTGCTTCAAATTGCAGTCCTGTTCTAAGTACTGTAATTCTCTTTTGAGACACAAAGTACTGAGACACTACTGAAGCGCAAAACTGCATAATTGCGCCATGCGGAAAAGTAAATACAAATGAAAACATCTTCCTGTTATAGAAATGATTGTCATTAAAAAGAATGTTAGCCATCAAAGCACGGAGGAAAAAAATGCACATGTTCAGACTGCAAGAACTTAAAGTGTTTGCACAAATTAGAGAGTGATGTAAAAATTACATGGCAATTCTTATGTTCCTGCCATCAATGTCTATTGTGTGAAATACAGAACGTTAAGATGTGAAGGAAACAAAATTCACGTCTAGACCCTTGTGACCTCTCAGTCACAATCTCAGCACCCAGTGCTAGAAACGGATTTAAATGTTTTTGGAGCAAGCTCCCTATTTAAACTAAAAATGGCCTAGAAATAAAATATACATGCCCATTATGTAAATATCTATGCCATGACTTATAGGAGTTAGTGTTAGACCCTGCCTTTGGAAGCCTAGGAGGGATGGAACTTAGAAGGTGAGCAGCTCACACCCCTCAATGGTCCACTCTATCTGGAAGTCAGCAAAGAACTGCCTTTTCTATCAAGTGAGCATCTGTGCCTCTTTGCACCCTTGCCCCAGCAAGACAAATAGAACATCTTTTCATCAGCAAGCACAGGCCGCTCTAACTCTGAAGGGCTAAATGGGTAGCTGGCACCTTATTTGAATTCCTCTTAACCATGTTCTCTTTCAAATGTTTTATCAAAACAGCGCACCTGCAGCGTCTATCTGCTTTAATCTGGAGTCCTTTGAAGAAAATGTCAGACTGAGGCAGAGAGCCTCAAAACTTTCATAGGAACCTTACAGACAAGTCCAGAAAAGGCTTATTTTTTAAATGCTATATCTACTTTCACTCACATCACAAAGTGAACATATCTTAAGAATATTAAACATCAACACTTGGGAAAGACCTTTTTTTTGGCAAACTCTCAGAGACGGGACACTGGTCTCCCTCCTCCACCTGAAAAATCTGTTAAAAACTCAAAACAAGACAGAATGATACACTGCCTAGAACTCTCAAGAAGCTCCATCACCTTGCTTCACATATTTAGGCAGTAAAACCTTCCAAATGATCAGATTTTGGAGCATCTCATCCTCATCACACTTACATTACATTTTACATATAATATTTAAAGAGACCAGTAATTTTTTAATTTTCATTTTAGACATAAACACATTTGCTCCCCAAAACAAAGGAACTCAGTACTAAATGCCAGGAATCCTAAAGAAAAATTAAAAAAAAGGAGTTGATATTGCCAAACATCCATGCTGGTGGTAGTTTGATTTTCTATTTAAAAAAAAAAAATCATGTGAGCACAGTTTGCATTTCCTAAACAGCAACCATCTCTCCTGCCCTTGCAGTGCAACTTGCAATGTTTCCCCCGCAGCAATCTAGTTGGAAAATATTTTAAAGTCTGTTGGCAATGAAAGGATTAAAAGCTGAGGAATTAAATAACTGTCTCCACCTCCTAGACACCAGAAGTCCATTTTACCAAAAGTTTCAAAGCACCAACTCATGACCTCTCTCCCCGAGCACCGCATGTTATAGCCTATGAGAAAGGAGCCCTTGATGCCGTCGTTTAAACAAGGATGCTTTTTTTATTCACTTGCCCTAAGAAGATCGCCCGACCGCCTAGCCTGACTCTGGAGCTCGCCTGCTGCAACTCCGCCAAATTGCGCTCTCCTCCCTCTGTTGTACAGATCGAGTGATCGCTCAACTCACGCCCTTGCTTTTTATGCCCACCTCCAGTTACTCATCCCTGTATCCCAGAGCGATGCTCACAAGCCTTCGCGGCGGCTACTCCGCCAGGATTCTGGGAGGGATGCACAAAGTTCCACGTGCCTCTGTCCACAGAGCGCCCTCCCTTTCGCCGCACTTACACCTGAACTTGTCTCCAGCACTGCGGACACCCGGCTGGCACATTCTTGGGGAGAGGAAGGGCAGGACTTTTCTCCCGCGCCTCTGGCAACGCGTAGAGTCTATATATGGTGGGGCGGGGGGCGCGGAATCCTCTACTTTGGATTGGTGTGTTTGTTTTAAATCGGGGGGATGGGGGGGCTTCACCAACTACACACACACACACACACACACACACACACACACACAGCGCGCTCTCCCTGCCCTCCCGGCTCACGGCCGGTTCGTCCGGGCTACAGCTCCCCCTTCCTTCCTGGAGCACCAGCTCGCCTTACTCGCTTAGTCCCCGGTTGCCACTGCCGTCGCCTCTGCTGCCGCCGCCACAGCCGCTGCTGGCACTGCTGGCGCTCGCGGCCCCGGGCTCCGCTGGGCGCCTGTCTTTCTTTCCCTCTCCCCCAGCCCCAGATTGATTGATGACCACCGGCGGCCAATGGCTCTGACACCGCGCCATCCTCGCCGAGGCATCAGAGCCCCACACCCCCGACGTCAGTCTCCCGGGCGCGCTGGCATCCCCGAACCCTCAGAGTGGAGCCCGCGCCCCGAGCCGCCGCCGCCGCCGCCTCCATGCTCTCCGCCCGGGTACTGCCGGGCTGCTTCCCTGGAGCGACGGAGAAACGAAGGGAGGGAGCCAGCGAGCGTTGGAAGGGGGTGTGGAGACCATGGATCCCACCACTATCTCCCTCGAAAATCTTTTCTTTCACTTAAAGTTTTGTTTGTTTTTTCCATCCTGACCTGTTTGTGTTTGCAGCATCTCAAATCAATTACACATTTTTCGTGACCCGAATTTGCACTTAATTTGGGATGTGTTGGGGGGGGGAGTTAAATATGGTATACATTTACCCCACTGGGACATCCTTAATTTCTTTTTTTTGCTGATGGATTCTAACCCCTTCCCCAATCTCCAGAAAAACGCCCCCTTCACCTTCTTAGGCCGCAAGACCCCAGAATTCAAAGGCTTTACAAAGATAACCCTGTTACATGTAAATAGCAAAGAAACTCCTGCCTCTCTCCAGAAGAAATCAGGCGGCAACGGTTACTTTTTCTCGCCGCTCGTCCCCAGCCGCCCAGCCCGAGTCACCAGCTCGCTCCGCCTGCTGCGATCATGAAGACCGGAGGCGGCAGGGGAGAGCGAGGGGCGCGGGGACAAGCTGAGAAAAAGCCCCGCGCGAGGGCGGCGCGCGAGCTGGCGGCCCCGGGGGCGGCGATGGAGCGCAGCCCAAGCACAAAGCTGCGCGGCGCCTTCCCGGCCACCGCACCTCGCTCGGGCCGCCACGGGCGCCCGGGGCTCGGGCCAACACAATGCACCCGGGCCTAGGCCGGGGCGGCTCGAACACATAACCCTGGGACTTTCTAGTAAACAGCTCGCGGTGCCCTCATCCCCACCCCCATCCCCGCCACTAGGCTTTTGCCGCTGCCCCTCACCGGCACCCTTCCTCCCCTCCTAAGAAATCCCGGCGGAGGAGGGGGCGGGGACGTGGGGACCCCGAGAGGTCGGGGGCCGAGGACTGGGGGGAGGGGAGAAGAGCAGAGGGGCAAGATGGGGAGTGGGAGAGAGACAGCTCCTAAAAAAGAATTCGCTTTCGCTCGGGGGTAGAAAATAAGCCCTACTCGGGTTCCGAATTGCCCGGGAAGCGTCCGCTCACGCGAATGTCAGGGGCACCGGGGCAGCCGCGGTCCGCAGCCTCCGAGCCCCCCGCACGCGCCTCTGACAAGGCACCTCTCACCCGGGCTCCGCTTTGTGTGTGCATTTTTTTCCCTTCCTCTCGCGCTCGGCACCGGGCGCCCGGCTGCCTCCTCCCCCCTCCCCCGCCCTCCGCCTCCCTTCCCGGGGCGGATTACCTTTCCCGGGCTGCGCTCCGGGTCCGGGGGATGCCTTCAGCGCCCGGAGAGCAGGCGATCCATCGCAGAGCCGCCAGAGCCGGCGAGAGGCGCGCTAGGGGCGAGCGGGGGCGGCGAGGGGCGAGGGCGGGCCAGAACCTTCGACCCCCGAGGTCCCGCCGCGGGCTGGGGCCGGGGGCCGAGGGGCGCGGCGGGAGAGGGAGGTGGGGGGGTGGGTAGAAAGGACGAGAGCAGCCTCGATCTGGGGAGAGATCGAGCGAGGGGGCGAAGAGAGAGAGCGAGGGCGCGGCGAGCCGGAGGGAGCGGTGCAGTGACAGGGACTGCCACTGGGGTCAAAGGAGCACAGCTCCAGGAAGCAGGGCGGCCGAGGCGCCGCTCCGTGCGCGCTCCCCGGCGGGACCCCGCGCCCCCGCGTGCCCCTCCTTCAACCCCGGCCCACTCGAACCCCTGCTGGCTCCCCGAGGCCCCGGGGTTGCAGGAGGAGGAGGGAACTGAGGGCGAGGCCGTCAGCCTGCTGGTGCTCCCGGGTCAAGCAGGCGGCAGGAAGCTGAGCTGCAAGTTCATCATCATGAGTGTGATCAGGGTAAAAATGATAGGGGATCGGGGAGGGGGTGCTACGGAACCCCAGGACAAATAAAGGGAGTTTTCCCTCCAAATGGGAGTCTTTTGCAAAGAGAACACCCAGGCCTCCCACCCACCGACCTGCCAGGCGCTGTCTGGAGTCCTGGCACAGCTCCAGGGCGCAGAGCTCGCCGCTGGGGCTAGGCGAGAGGTTCAGGCATTGCGGTCAGACCAAAGAAGGCTACCCTGGGTCCCCTCCCATCTGCTGAGCTTAGGCTTTCCTGGGGGAGAGCTATGCTCTTTCTCAAGCCTTTCACCTCGCCAGTTACGTACACATACGCGCACACACCCCTTTCTCTCTGCTATGTTGTTCCTGAGAAAGAAAAGGCCAACCCAACTGATAAATTTTTTTCATCTCCATGAATTAAGGCAGGTTCAGGATAGGGAGTTGAGGAGAGGCAGACGGTAGTTTTCATTTTTGTTTTTGGGGTATATTTTCCCCAAAAGATAAGCCCTTCAAAAACGTTTTAAAATTCAAAGTCTGTCCCCTTTTTTCTGCTACTTTGGATAATGGGGAAAAAAGGTTTTCAGAATTGCATGCAAACAACCTAAGGAAAGGAAAAGCCACTGAAATGCTAGAAGACAGGAGACAAGAAAGAGAAGGCTCTTAGAAAACTTGGTTGGCAAGGCTGTCTGTGAAAGATGAGGTGGCCCTGTGATGTTATGCCATTGTCAGAGCTGAAGGATTTGGACGGCAACCAGATCTAATTCCTTTCCAGGAGTCAGACTCAAAGATCTAGCCATTCTCCAAAGGGAAATCCAATGGTGTGTGTGTGAGAGAGAAGTGTGCAAAGTATGCTATGTGACAACTGACTAGACATGCTGGCTGAAATTATATCCCCTAAAAATAAAAAGGAGCCATTTCAACCTGGTCTGTGGCCTCCATGCTGAGACTAATTGGTTTCCAGGGGCTGGGGAGGAAGGGAGAGAGGCTGGTAGGAGCCCCTATAAAAAAAGATCAAACGGAATTCACTTGAAAATATTTCCCTTTTACAATAGGCTTTCCTGGCACTTGAATTTTAAGTAACCCATCTCTTATGCCTGGGCTGAAATGAAGGGGGAAATGGTCTTGCTAATGTATTTATTTTGTTGTACAATATGCCCAGAGTGTCGGTACTTGTCAAATGTGCTAGGATCAAGGGACAGTGACTACCCTTGTCCAGAACAAATCACAGCAAGAGGCATTGACATTAAAGGATGCCAAAGATGGAGTGGGGTACCTTTTTATTTGGTTTTTATTTTCCAGCCCAGTGGCGAACACTGACTGGAATCATGTTTTTGAAGAAATGCTTAGATTTGTTTCCCTTATTCTGTGAGTTAGCATTATACTCCTCTTATCTAAATATTTTGAATTTTTAGACTGATTTGGGATGATTTAATCAGCTGGAAAAAAATTTAGTGCCAGCCAAATAACTTGTGTGGTTTTCTAACTTCTTTCTTTCTTTTCTTTTCTTTCCTTTCTTTCTTTCCTTCTTTCTTTCTTTTTTTCCTTCTTTCTTTCTTTCTTTTCTTCTTTCTCTCTCTCTTTCTTCTTCCTTTTCCTTCCTTCCTTCCTTCCTTCCTTCCTTCCTTCTTCTTTCTTCCTCTTTCTTCCTTTTTAAACTAACTGGTAGTCAGCCAAAATAGCCGAAATAGTTTGTACAGGATTCTAAATCTATGTGCACACAGACAGGAAATAATAATGCCTTTTACTTTAGTGACACATTTTACAAGATATTTAATTCTATAAAAAATCAATTGAGCCATCCTTTACAAAGATGGTGAAAACTTGTATATCATTTTGCTGATGGGGGAAAAGTATGAGGCAAAAAAGCTTAAAATTGTAACTCATACTATAGGAAGAAGTCAGCTTCTACTGTGTCCCTGCTGATCAATTATCCACTGGGAGAGGTAGTGACCAAGCTATATTAGTGTTCTGAAATTTTATTTCCATTAGGCTACCAAAAGAAAGAAGCTGGAGAAATGTAAGTGAATTTAAATAGTAAATCAGGAACAAAAGGAATTCGCTTTTCAAATAATTCTCATTACATAGATTTGAACATATTGCATTTTGTTAAATCATATTCTCCACCAATATAGCTACCTACACTAAAAGCTTGTTTTAAAATGATTGGATGTGAACCATGGCTGTCCCCTGACATCAGCTGTGAAACATTGAGCCTCATTATACCAAATTTTAAATGCTAAAGGCTAGCACTTCTTTTTTTAAAGATAAGTGAGCCTATAAGCTCCATTTTTTTGGTTATTGTTGGTAAATGCAATTTTTATTGTTTAAATGGAAAAGAAAAGAAAGATAAAAATCAAATGCCAGGTTTATGATTGCCTCTATGCAAATCCTACAAATTTTTTTCTTTAATGGAATGTAAATCTGGACCCTTTCTCCAGTGATTTCCTTGAAGGAACTGGCAAATATGCTTCCTGATAGCCGGCTGCAATATCTTTTAACATATCTGTACAGAATGTATTTCGGGAAGCAAATGAAAGAGAGGAACATGGGAGAACTTGAGGTGGAAGCTTGCAAAGTGAATGCTGCTTCCCATGAAAGCTCAATACTGTCTTTGTAGCTGGCTTTCATTCCCCCTATCACAGGTTTTTCAATAATTCAGGAATACTTGTGTATAACTTAAAACTTGGTCCAATAGTTGATTCTTCTTCAAAAAAAGAAATTCATTAAACTCTTGCCATTTCACTGAGCAATTTCATTGAAACTGTATACACTAATCTAACTCTAGGAACAAACAGCAACTATTATCCCATTTTTTTCTTTAAATTGTTTGCATTTTTATCATTTTTCTGCAAAGGCTAAGATAAATCAGAGCCTGTTAGTAGAACTATTATTATGATGCAATTTGAAAATAATCTGAGCCAACAAACACTTTTACTTTATTCTAAATTTCTTCAATTTTTACATGTTTTTAATTTGTTTCAAATGTTTTCATTGTAACCCCCTGAAGTTTAAGAGGTGTATCTTACATTCCTTTGTATCCTTCATTCCTATGTGCTTTGCAAACAGTAGAAGTTTGGAAATATTTGTTAAACAATTGTATGGGTCAATAAATGTGAAAGGGAGCAAGAGAATGCATGAGTGAATGAGACAGCTTTCACAGTGAAGGAAAATCCATGCCGGGTGGGCAAAAATGGAAGTGATGTTATGAGACCAGTGTTGGAGGGTAAGAGCTAAGGGCTTTCTGTGGAGTTCAAACAGCACATTTAAAGGAGTTTGATGATATCTTTAGAGTCAAGAAATAATGCATAAAACTGTTTTAGAAGTTCATTTTCTCATTAAAAAACAGAAGATTGTTATGGATCCCATCTATTTAAAAGCAGCCTTCTTTTTAAATACAGGAGGATGCAAAAAATAAAAAATAAAATCCTGATTAAAATTTATATTTTAAAACTTACAGGAAAAATGTACCAGGATATAGTTTCAAGAGAAACTTAGGTAATTAACCTTATTTTTTTAATAGATCCTTTTTTGAAGTCCTGAAAAGTATAAGTGTTTTTTTTTTCTTTGTATTTAAAATTTCCTGTTGGTTAACCATAATATTTCTGGCTAAGGCAGATTCAGGAAGCACTAGAACTGATGAAATTTCATTTCATAAAATAAATTACATAAGCACTATCTTAGAAAAACTAAATTTGATCCAGCTTTGCCAGCAGCTTAAGTAGTAAACATGGAGGGACTGAAAATCTGAAAATTTTACAAAACACTTGCTAATTCTTACCATACTTACTAACCAATATCCCATATATATCAACAAATTAGACAGGTGTTATTTATGCAGTAATAATTTTAATAATTCATTAAAAAATCTGAACAAGGTGCTAAGCATGTGTTTGTTTTTCACCCTAGGAAGAGTGTGTTCATTGAAGTAAAAGCCAAAGTAATCTCATGAAAGATGGGTAGTGTGGAAAACCCATAATCACCTGATTAAAGAAAATGTATGTGGGAGTTTTCAAGTTCAATAATTCAATTTGACAAGATATATCAATATTTTGAATAAGCAATATATAATGTAATTTTTCTTGTCAGCAAAAATAAATAAATGAACGATTACATTTTTTTTAAAAACTGAGTTTGAGAGACCAGTAAAATCTAAAACCCATTTCTCTATATATTATTACTGTAATGGCTCTGTTATTCAACAGATATTTTTTTAAGCTCTGCTCTGTGCCAGGCAGAGTACTTATGATCATGTCGATGGTCTAATGATGAAAAAAAGCAGAGTTTCCCCTCACATTATGAAGTTTGTAATCTCATGAGCCTGGGAGTCTGACTTTAAGTAATCACAATTAAAGAAAAATTGTATCTATGGAAAGGAGAGGCAGCCGGTGCGCACGCGCATGCGCGTGCGCGCACACACGCACACACGAAACTTTTGCTCCTCCGAGGTTGAGTGAAGACTTCCTTGATGGAGGAAAAGAATGCAAGGATGTCATAAGAAAGAGAAGGAGCATAGTGAGGTGCTGAGTGAGGA